GGGCTTGCTGCGAGGGTCCTAAAAGTGGCCAAAGCCTCTTAGATCAGCCGAAGCTGTGGGACCACACCTAACCAAGGCCCAAAGTGCCACCTCAGACCTCTCATCCCTCAAAGTCCCAGGACTAAGGCACTTTGTACCCAAGTCTCTGACCTAAGGGCTTTCACGTTGTGGGAAGTGCCCTTCTACCTTCCAGGTCTGACATCCCTCCCCCTTTGCAGAGACTCCTGCTCCATTTTCTAACCAAAGGAAATCCCAGGCAGAAGTCCACCATGGCATCCCCTGGGCTGGATATCTCTGATTCAAAGATGCCTGCAGTCTGGAGGCACTAGTTATCAGCTGGATCTTGGCTGGGAGTTCCCTTTGTTTGTCAGGCAGCACCACTCCCGCTGTGTCACTCCGGTTTCCTTATCTCAACCTGGACTTTGGACAGAGATCAGTACTGCAGACACCTAGGCAAGGAGGAGCTGTTTATGCGGACGATTACCCACTTCAGCAAGCTCAGAGTTGACTGAAACACAGGCTAAAAGCACCTGCAGAAACCAAGCTGGTGTGCTTTTCTCTCCAAACCAGAAAGCTTCACTCTGGTGGATCTCTTCGCATCAGAAGACCTTGTGGTCCCAACCCTGTGACCCACGTGGGTGCCAAGTTAGAGCAAGCCTTTAACTAAAGATTTCAACCATGCAGCGTGGCCAGAGAGGGCACATGCTGAGTCAGGTAATGGACCATTATTTCCCTGGCCCCACAGAGAAACCATTGCAGCGCACTGCTCTGCCGAGGAGCTGCGGGTACAGTACAGCTTTCTGTTCCTGCACATCTGGCAAGAGCTTGCAGAGGAAGGGGCAGCCTGGAACTGCCCGGGCTTCACTGGGCTGGCCAGAGAAAGCTCCCTCAGTTCTTACAGGGAACGCAGCACAAAGTAACTGACACATGCTGGGTTTCTCCTGCTCAGACTGCAAATACCAGATGTTTCCCAGGAAGCTCCGCAACCCATGGAAATCAGGGTCCGAAGCCTAGAAGGAAGAGACCAGGTGCTGTTAGGGAGCTAAAGCCTGCAGCAGGCTGGCAGTCACTCAGCTGTGAGAGGGGTACAGTGCCAAGGAGGGCTGCACACTTTGCAGACAGATGAACCTGCTTTCCACCCTCCAATTCCCTCCACTTCCACCAGCTCCTCCTTCCAGCCTGTTTCCCCCATCCTTTCTCCCCCGTGAGCAGCACAGGTCGGTAGCTGCGGAAGGCGTACCAGCTCCCTGAGCGCCCGACTTACGTGGGGCACCGGCATGCTCAGCCAGCAGCGCCAGCCTCACTGCAGGACTAATCCAGAGGCTGGAGAGGAATCAGTCACTGACCCAGGGGAGGGAAACCCCATTTATTTAGGCTATTCAAACGTGGCACGCACAGAACATATCACAGTAACGCACTGAAGGCTAAGGGTTGGTTTTTTTTTTTTTCTTTTTCTCTACAGACATACAGGAAAACTCTATGCAACTCCCATGTACACATTACACAAAGGAAACAGCTTTAATCAACCACTGGTGAAACATGGAAGCTTTTAAGACCTCTGTAGCTGGCACAGGAATGTTCTCTACCCCCCATACAAAAGGCATTTCAGGTCAGACTTTCTAGTAGGTGGTATTTCCATGCATTTCTACAGAATTAAAGAAGCTAACAGACAAAAAGCCCAGATCAAGCCGTATTAGTCAGGCTGATTGGTTCTACTAAGGTAAATCAATAGTAATTATGGACAAAT